TTTTAACCTCAGTATTAAATAAAAGTCTTCATAAAGTTGTATTAACAAATATAAAATGATAGCTTTAAGGTGTGCTAATGTAATAATAATGAATTGATTCTAAGAACAGATTACATAATTATATTTTATCGAAACGAATTTATCAATGATATCATGATCACATTATGTTTACATCCTAAATGACGGGAAACGGATATTAAATAACACCGATGTAGAACCATTAATTTAATCCTTTCATAAAATCCTCCTTGTTTACTTTGAAGAACGGTCAGCCATTTAATTAACCCGTAAACGAGTACTGCTGCGTGTAAAAAAACACCGCCTCACAGTGAATACAATTAAATTTCCAAGTGAGTTGACAATAGACCTTGACTTTGTCACCTTGACATAGTGCAAGAAAACCTTGGTAGAAAAATATTCATTGACAATATCACCTATAAACATGCCTCGAGAAATGTTAAGTGTTTTATTTATTATTATTTTTTTAAAGCAGTAACAAAAAAAAATGAGCAGCGTAACAACTTGGTTTTTCGTCCGTGACAAATTAATAAAGGACTTCGTATCGATTATGACATCTCATTTTAAGATATTTCGGAGAATTTCGAAATAAGAATTTCAGTACCCATGCGACTATGAAAATGGTTTCGGGGAAATCTTAAATGTCCTTCGTTTCCTGACGTCACTAACATCAAATGATCGGAAAAGCTTTGTAAATTGGTAACTATCTTCTTGTATAGGAAATGACGCTATACGGGACGTGACAGGTGGAGGTCACACCTGTCACCTTATGAATAACAACAGATTAAGTGGCGCACGTTCGCAACTCCGTTTATTCTAATTTACGTTATTGCAAATATGATGCGCTTACACAAAACCCATTCTTCTAAAGATACGTTTAGATGTTAAGCATTGTTATAAGCAATTTCCCACAGCAAACTTTAAAATTTCACATACCAAAAAAAAAAGAAAAAAAGATAACATTTCCTCTTTTAAATATGCCTCAATAACCAAAACAACCTTTTGAAGGCATGCCCTTTTTCATGCTCTAATTAAGTCTTCACCTAGATAATTGTACTCTAATGCGTAATTTGTTTTTGTATAAATACAACTAAAATTCCGATTCATCTGGACTTAATAGTGTTGTAATGAGAATAAAATTGTAATATTAAAATGAAAAAAGGGAGAGAAAAAATAAAATCGTCCGCGACAGGATTCGAACCTGCAATCTTCTGATTCGAAGTCAGACGCCTTGTCCGTTAGGCCACGCGGACTGAATGAAAATGTCATTCTATTGGTATTATGACGTCGATCTCAATTAAACAATTTACCGAATAAAATCGTAATATGTGTAATTACAATTTTAATATTTTTATCTTAATTAAAAATATATTAATAATTTCAAATTAATCGAAAATCTAAATTAAAACGTCACGATATCGTTGTTGCTTTTAAATATTTTCGATCAATGACAATTTTCTTAGAATGACGTCATTTAAAGGTTCAAATCGGCACTCTATTAAAAACCGATCGTCGATTGGATAAAAAAAAACGCTTTTATTTATAGATTAATTTTTATCGCATTCAACGTAATTATTTTAAAACAAATAATTTAATAAATAAATAACTTTTTTTAATATATGATCTAATCCAGGGGTCGGCAACCTTTGAGCGGTGTTGTGCCGAACCTAAGTTATAGTGTTATTCCGGGTGCTGATATGATTTTACCAATTTTTATTATATATAGTATCAAAATTGGTCCGGTTATAAAGGAATTAAAAATTTAATAATTAAAATTTAATTTTTACTACGTTTCTATTCAATGAGAGTGGCACTGAAAATCGTCCCGCCTGCCATAGGTTGCCGACCCCTGGTCTAATCTATACGAGCAAAACAAAGAAAGACGATCTTCTCCTCT